ACTATCAATTCCCTTTACAATCTTAAATACCTCAATCAGATCCCCCTTAACTCTTCATTTCTCAAGAAAAAATAATCTGAGAAATTTCAGACTCTCCTCATTTGACAACCCCTTCATCCCAGGCACCATTCTAATAACCTTTATCTGAACCCTTTCTAATAATTCAATGTCTTTTCTAAGTTAATGAGCCCAAGACTGAACACAATATTCCAAATATGACCTAATCAGTGACCTATCCAATGAAATTAGAACCTCTTTAGACGTGTATTCAATATCTGCCTTATCACTAGCAACATTACACTGTTTGAATCGCTTTAGAGACTGATCAACTATTACACCAAGATCACTTTCTTACATGAAACTGTTAAGGTTATTCCCATCCAAATTATACTTATAATTCAAATTATGATAACGCACATACATTATCTTGCATTTATTATAATTAAAGCTCATTTGCCATTTATTTGCCCAACTCACTAAATAATCTAAATCCTTTTGTAAATCAGCAGCATCCTCTTCACAGCTAGCAACACCCAAGACCTTAATACCATTTGCAAATTTAGGTAATTTATTGACCATTCTTTGATCTATGTCTTTGATGTAAATCAAAAGGAGCAAAGGTCCTAAGATTGATCCCTGAGGTACCTCACTAGTTACATTAATCCAGTTTGACTTAACTCCATTTGTAACAACCATCTGCTTTCTTCCATCCAGCCACTCTTATATCCAATTTGCTAACATATCCTCCACATCTTTGGAGATATTTTTACTATACTTTTAGTCGCCCCTTGTCAAATGCTGTCTGAAAATCCAGATGCAACAAATCTACACCTTTATCTTCATTTGCATAAACAGTAACCTTTTCAAAGAATATCAAAAAAATATGTAAGGCAGAATTTTCCCTCATTAAAACCATGTTGGCTATCCAATAAAATTTTAAACTTTGTTAAATGACTTTGCAAAGCATCTTTTATGAGACTTTCCAAAATGTTTCTCATAACTGATGTAAAACTAATGGGTCTATAATTATTGGGACAATTTTTATCACCTCACTGGAAAAGAAGAGTTACATTAACTAACTTCCAATCCTCTGGTACCTGCCCACTATTCAATAACTAACAAAAAATAGTAGTAAGTAGCTCACATATCCAATCTTTAACCTTCTTCAAAACCAGTGGGGAAATATTATCCGTCCCAGGAGATTTATCGTTCTTTAAAGTTCTCAATTTTTTCTTAATTATATTATGGTGCCAAATACCAAAAATGAACAAAAACTTCCCTAACTTAAAATTTGATATGACCATAATTTACAATTTGGGAATATTTGATTACTGTGATAATTAAAATTGTCTTCTCAGAATTATCATATTTACACAAAAATAGCTAAAAATGTTTTAAACAGCCTCAATTCCATTAAAAACTTGTAATTTGAGATTACGTAAGTCCACGAACATATATAACACTCCTATGACAAAATGTGAATAAATGCAGTTATTACAGGAAATTTAATATTAAAGGGCTCTCAAAAATCAAAATATTTGAGCCTTGTATTTATAATCAATATTTTATCTTTTACACTTACCTAAGCACAAATATTTCGGAGGAATTTATTTTCATAATGAAAGTCTATAAAGAAGACTAAACAAAAAGTCTAACTTCAGGCGAACCTTATAAAAACTGACTCTTGATATGGATATAAATTCAACATTTAAAACCCTTCTCACGTAAATTGAAAGAAAGTTTACTGGTAAATATTTCACTGACGCATATCTTCACAGAATAATATAACTTAGAAATATAACAAATCCGAGCTATCGACTTGTTTCTTTGTAATTAAACACAAAGCTAAACAATGGGCTATTTGTGCTCTGCCCATTACGAGTATTGAAACCCGGTTTCTAGCGGTATGAAACCGTAGACATACCATTTTGCCATAGAGGTACAAGGCTATCGACACTATTTTTATTTGTCCTTATTAAACTTCAGATACATAAAGAAAATGAAAGGCAAAGTTAGAGAAATGAGTTCTTATTAATTCGATTTATTTTCGTAAATTATCTTGGCAATGCCACAGGGATATCTGCTTATTTACATTGTCATAACTTTTGTGTACATCCTACTTCTGATCATGAATATCTAATTTAGTTTAAAAAGTGTCCATCATTTCTCACCTGTTTCGTATCATTCATTCACACAATTCATTTTGAACATTTCAGAGCCTTGTTTCTGTAAAAAGTGAAAATTTCTTTTATCGTACTTGACCTTGTTAAACTTTACTTGTTCTTTAGTTTACAAAATTACTTTTGCCCAAATTTACGTTACGCTACCAGAATGTTACACAGAATCTCACGGAATAAGACACAGATCTCACAAAAAAAAAATTATGGAAATCGAACATCTTCTAAAACCTTTTACCCATGTAATGTTAGGTTTAACACTAAGTATATATGTAGTGAATACTGTGATCTAATTAATAACAAATGTATCAATATTTTGGTCGGTTTTATTTCATATAATTATTACATTCGTTTTTATGTTAAATCATGAAAAATATCAGATTTTACACAGTGTTGCTAACCATTACCAGATTACTAACAATGATAATGTTTCATTTAAATTTAAAAATATTCCATAACAGACATCAAACAAATTGAGCAGTTGTCGTTGAGTATTTGGTGTATAGAAACTGTTCAACTTATCTAGTATTCAATAAACATAATTTTTATCCTTGGTAATTAATGTAAATGGTAATAAGATGAAGAAATAGCGATTTATTAATTCGATGTTTTTACTTCTCTATTGCTGCCTCCCAGTGGCACAATGGTGTATCTGCGGTTTTACAACTCTAGAAACCGGGTTTCGATACTCGTGGTGGGTAGGGCACAGATAGTCCATTGTGTAGCTTTGTGCTGAACTTCAAACGAACAAAAACAAATGAAATAATAATATAAGCTTTATACAAGTATTGTAGAATCATCTGTGAAGAGAGAAAAATGTTTCTTAATACATGATTTTTTTTTATAACAATACATAAGAAACGTACGTTATGCAAGTTATCAGAAATTTATACCAAAGAGATTGAAAATTTGATGACTATTGGGAGACATCTCAATGTAAAAATAAAGCCATCATAAGAAGATGCTCTGTTCCGGGGACTAATGTATTCCAATCTTAAAAATACAAAAAGCCACCTCAAAAGAAATTGCCATTGGGATCCTAGGAGGTCAATTTATTTCAGTACTACAATTTTTGAAATACATCATAATTATCATTTACATATACAAAACACACTGGAGTTAATTGTATATATTCATGCTTATAAAATTCACTCAAACATTCACAATACGAAGTACAATATCAAATACTAAAACAACAGTGTTTGATGTTATGGAATAGCTTTTTCTTGAAACATTGTCAAATTATAACTCTTATGGATAAGTTACATTATGGTATATTATGATAATTAATACCAACCATTATGTATATGTATGTGTGTGTTTGTATATACTCCTCCTCTGTTTCATTTCACTGTATTAAACATTCAGCAAAAGGTGAATTATACAAGCTTAGATAATTTTTAAATCTTAAATGTAAATATTTTAAGCGTTTTAATCTTCTTTATAATAGTTTCTAACATTTCCATAATTTTACGTTAACAACAATTACAAACATGCGTTTAATATAGTTACCGCCAATGATAAACTTATTGTATTTGACATGTTAAATAATAGTGTATTTTTTATACTTTTTAAAACCCCTCTGTATATTTGACGGTAATGAAATGTTATTTGCTTTTTATATAAAATAGAAGTTTTAATTCAGTAATATTATATAACTTAAGACGTTTACCTTTTAAAAACAATGATATTGTCTCTTTCTTATACCAATTATAATAGCTTATATTTCAATAGATTTAACTTCTTACCTGGTTTTATAGGTATTTCTCCTGCCATGTCTCAATACAATAAAAAAGAGATGGTAATATTAATATACAGTATAAAATATACTTTGTATCGTCGTGTAAATAACGTTCAATTCAATATAAAATTCCGATAATTTTTTGCTATTTTTGTTTTATAGCATTTAAATGCTTTTATTGCTTTAATTTATCATCAAAATTTATATCTATACTCTTTGTTTTATACATTCTGTTAACTTCTTTACGATCCGTTTTAACAAAAAATCTTGATATAAAATTGTAGTAAATACATTAAATCTACTTTCCTTTTTTTAGTGAAGTATAAATAATGTAGTTTTTTCATTTTTCAGCAGGAAGTGGACCAACATTAACAAGAAAAAAAAACATTAGATTTATTTGCAATATTTAAATCTTTAATTATTTGTTTCTTAGCCTTTGACACACTATCAAGTTTCGGCTGAAGATATATTATTTTCTCTCTTACTATAACATTTAATAGTTTCTATGTGTTTTTTGTGTCACTCTTATACTCAAGCCCACCAGTGGCACAGCGGCAGGTCTGCAAACTTACAACGCTAGAAACCGGGTTTCGATAACCGTGGTGGGCACAGCACAGATAGCCCATTGGGTAGCTTTGTGCTTGATTACAAACAAACAAACTTTTATTCAATTAAACTCTCAGTATATTAATATTTTTAGATTTATTTAATATTTTAGTGAACATATATAATTATACTTTTTGTATTTACTTTAGTTTTCTCATCTATATCCTTAATGTTTTTTTTACATGCATTAATTAATTTGATGTTTTTTATATTATTTTTTGAGCCAATATTTGGTATTACAATTCTCCACACATATGCTGAAAAGATCAAAGATGTTGATATGTTGTTTTTGAATGGTGTATATGTAGGGGTAATGGAATTTTCATGTTTTTTATTCATGATATTAAGAAGTCACAAGGAACAAAAAATTGGTTATCTCACCTCGCAATTCACACACAAGAAGGAAATCTATCTTCCGAAAGAACTCGTTTTATTGTGATTCTTGTTTTGTGATTTTTGATGTAACTCCGCAAAGAATAATAATTCAACATCGAAAGTTTCTTATAGGATTAAATAAAGAATGCGTATATTTTAATAGCTCATTTTTCAAAACGATTAAAAATGATTTGGACACAAGCAAATCAATACTTGATTTACGACGCTTTAATAAGTAAATATAAAATACTATTTTACTTAATACGCTGTTACTATTTAAGCAATTCCTGTAGTCTGTTTACGAAAAGGAAAAATAAATTTTCTATTAATATAAGCCCACGAGTTGGCGGTGGGTTGTGATGACTAGCTGCCTTCCCTCTAGTCTTACACCGCTAAATTAGGTACGGCTCGCGTATATAGCCCTCGTGTGGCTTTGCGCGAAATTTAAAAAAAAAAGCAAAAATAATAGTCCTGTTTGAACACTGTACTTTTTTCAGATGTTAAAAGTTCGTATATCACCACTTTTCTGATTTCCCCGCTTGATGCTTATATGTAGGTGAATTATTAAAGCAGAAGTTCTTCCGTTTCATTGTACATACTACTGCTACAGATGTTGAACTACTTAAAGGTCGTTATTCCCAGTATTTTCCTGTTCTTCTCTTTTGACGTCTAAAAACATCTATGTATAGTTAGATTTTTTTCAGGTTTAGTGTATTTTCCGCTGAATAAGCTAGTGTCTTTAAAAAACGTAGAGTTGAATAAATTTATCTTATCTTCCTTTTCTAAAAACATTTTTTTTCTTACTCAGTGTTTATATGCTTATGTATTTTTACACTGGTATGGCTTAAAAAGTACTACGCAATTATCTTTATTGGTAACATTTCATACCCGTTTGAGTTTCTTCATTATTTTCTTTTTTCCCTCATTAATTAATTAAATGCTTTGAAATCTTCACTCTAATTTCGTCCTTTGCAATTATAGTATTATTCTTATATATTTAGAATTGTCACGTTGAAACTACCAGAACAAAATTACAATTTAGTGAAAACTTTATTGGTGAGTACACCTTGATATTCTGAGTTAGAAAATACATTTTTTCGTAATCATTTTGCAAAACTGGGATAATAGAATCGTTATTCAAAATTCAAAACAACAAATAGATAATCGAATAGAAGAATAAAAAGCTACTTATTTGGACACAATTCACATACACAAAATTAGTATAATATCAATCAGAACCACTCAGGCGTTCTATATACAGTTCACTTACCCTTTGGGAAAAAAGTGATGCAAGGTAGGACAAATTATTATAAAATTCTTTAAAATAGAGAACGTATCACCATTTAAAGATAAAAGAGTTTAAGGTGTATCCAGTAAAACTATAGCTAGTTAACTAAGCCAACTGTAAGTATGATATGAATTTAAAACAAATAAATATAAAATCCTTAACTTTTTATTCTATTCATAATTTTTCAACAATAGTAATTGGTCTTTTTGAATTGTTACAACCATCTTCAAATGATTAGAGATGAAAGATCGTGCTAAAAGTTACAAAAAGACCATTTTAGTTTCAGGGAAAAATAATTAGTGACTCTGTGATATTAGCGTAATAGTTGTTCGTCTGTAAAATTATATCGAATCTATCTATATCCAAACATAAATAAAATATAAATATAGAAGTAAAATTACCATGATTATATACATTCGAAAGATATAAACACAGCAATTCGATAAACAACCTAAATGGTTGGAAAGCTTTCGAAAAGTGGTTGTTTCTTCATAAAGGATAAAAAGGAAACTTTTTGAATTATTATAGCCATCTTCATAAAGGATAAAAAGGAGACTTTTTGAATTGTTACAGCCATCTTCATAAAGGAGAAAAAGGAGACTATTTCAATTGTCACAACCATCTTCATAAAGGAGAAAAAAGGAGACCTTTTGAATTGTTACAACCATTTAGATTACAACGATTTCTACTTGATAAAAACGGAAGCTCGTTTTATTTATGCTTAAGTAACTTAGTAATTTTCTATGGTTTATTTATTGAATATTTTTACGTGGTACATAAACTTTTTTATTATTATTTACACGCTACAGGAGTTTAACAAAACAAAGGTTCTCCTCCCCTCCAGTCTTCTTGAATAGATAAGAAGAAAAACACTTAATGAGCTAAATTCAGTTAAATTTTATTAACTAAACTGCTTCATGGAATGTTATATTAACACGATATATTTTACTTAAATACTTAAGGCGAAATTGTTTTTTGCTTTGTTTTCTATATTAGTTTTTTAGGATTATGCAGTAAAATGTTTAGTATTTGGAATTACTTTGTTTCTCTACTGATCTTATAATGTCTCTTCAGATGTCAACTTTCATTAAAACTCTTCATGTTATGTTAATTTAATGTACCTCTCGACTGAAATAAATGAAATGTTTAATTCGATTAATAAACAAAGTCCTTGTAATACATATTTGATAGCTAAGACTCAGGTAAGCAAGTATTCGTTTGACTGTTTCTAATCTTTGAGAAAATTCTATATGCTCACTGAGTATGAAAACAATTTCACAAATAACTAGTATTGTGCTTTCGAAGTTACACATTTCAAGTTGTACACGTACGCAACATGATACTATCACAAACATTTTGTAGAATTGTCTTACTTTGACGTTTTCAGCCTAGCTGGCTAACTTTTCTCAAACATCTGACATGACTCGGTATCCTCAAATGATTAGAGATGAAAGATCGTGCTAAAAGTTACAAAAAAGACCATTTTAGTTTCAGGGAAAAATAATTAGTGACATCTTTTTGCTGCAACAACACTAAAAGTTTTTCAATATCAATCATTTACTTTCAAGGATAACTAAACATAGTTTTAAAAAAAAATCTATGCGGTTGAAGAAGTATTGATTATTAAAATGTTATCAAGTCACTTTATACCACCTAAATTAAAGTTTTGATATATTTCTATAAAGGATTTGTGCGTCAATTTATAGCTACACACACACACATATATATATATACTTTATACATGTTTAATTTCTTACATGTAACACTCCAACAGTATTGCGTTCTTCTATTTATTAGCTTTTTTATTATTATTAAAGTCATGCTCATTGCGTTGCTGGATAAGGTAGTAATCGAAAACGTTTTAATCTGAAAGCTCACAAAGCAACAAATACTTGAGGTTTCTTTCACAGTTATCTGTTTCCAAATCTGAGTGATAAAGTCTTCAAGAGATATAAAAACTTTATCAAGTGTAATTTCATTCGTTGGGAATTTATTTTTCATGTGAAATAATTATATGTGACCTGATAAAAGTTAACATTATTGAGCTTTCTCTGGAGCAAAGTATGGTGAAAGGATGATATAACAAACGAAAATAAAACGTAGCTTTGTTAGGATTATTAAATTCGTGATAATTTGTTTGGTTTGGGGATAACTTAGGTGACTTATAAGAAAATTATAATTATTTATTTTTATAAATATACCTATAGATAATTGTAAACGAGCAAACAAAATTACATACTTAGCAGAAAGCTTTGTCTTTTCACGAAGCTACCATTCACTAAAAGATTTAACGATTGTGCGATGGAAAGAATGAATCATCTACATAAACTGAGTAGAATGGGTTACGTGTTGCATCACAACGACGTTTTTATGTTCAAATATATATTTTTTCCTGACTTAGATGAATTTATCATCCCTTGATACAAAGGCTCTAAGCGTGAAAGACCATTTTCTATTTTGGTTCGGTTTCTTTTTCCCGTATGTTTTGTCTTGCGAAGTGTGATAAATCTAAGTGCACTTCTTGTCAAAAGATCCCTTGTGTCACCGATTATTGGCGAGTGTTCAAAGGCGTTAGGATTATCTTAGTATCAAGGCACTGTCCGCATTCTTCAGGAGATGGACCTATGAATTAAACTGATGATCGATTGGATGTCAACCTAAGGAGAAAAGGCAATCCAGAAGTAACCAATTCTGAACGCAAAGAAAATGTATCCATTCAAAAGACTGTAGTTATTCTATTCTTATTTTTCGACCAACTTTACTCGATTAATGAAGTAGACAACCAACTCACACTGATGTGTGAATTATGAGCTCTGAGTAACAATCTTCGAAAAATATGTATATCAGTCATAAAACTTGCCAAAATAGTGATGGAAAAGTCATGGACGATGTTATAAGTTTCCCATTCATTATAATTTTAAGAATTTAATTGCAGGATTTCTTCCTAGGAAAAAAACAAAGAACTTTTCATCCTCTCAGTTGCGTATTGAGCTAATCTAGACAATAGCAAACAAAAGTATAAGACATTTGTAAATTATTTATCATTGTCTAAAAGACGTGACAAATCAGATGTTCCTGTTGTTTTTAACTACTAGAAATATTAACCTTCTGAATGCAGTAACAACAGCTTCCTGTCAATATGTATGAGTGCTTGTTAATGGCAGCTTAACAAAGGTTGCACATCAGAAAAGCAAGAGGATATGACAAGAGTTCCTGCATTTGTTCTGTGCCATTTTAACAGAACCTCATTAGTAGGCCTTCCCGGTTTTGGTAAGATTCACAGGTTACGTTAACGTACGGCATTCGAGCAAAAAATAAATAGAAATACTGACTACAAATTAACAATGTTTTTTTATTTCTGTCCTGTATTGAGACAGTGACTGTCAGTCACTGTCCTTTAGTTAAGAACACCCTCTTCAGGCAGCGGGGCTGCTGACTAGTGTTTCATACTGGTTCCCAGGTCAAAATTAGGAACGCCTACACCTGAACCGTATGAGTCTCTGACCTGGCCTTTTTGTCAGCTGTACTTATTATATGTCGTTCAGGTGAAGAAACAAACAAATCCTCTTGACTTTATGCTGTGTAATACAACATGCATAATTTATAATCCGTAAAAGATAAAGTACACTAAAAGGTTATGTAGTAGGAGTAACAGCAGATAGAAGTGTGACGAGATTCAGTAACTTCATTTACAATATGTGATGAGACTGGACGATTTGTACGCCATGTTTAATATTTAGTAATAGGTAAATAATAATAACACGCACAAAGCTACACAAAAGACTATCCGTGTTATCACCATCGAGGGGAATCGAAACACACAGAATTTGACACTGACCTTCCTTAAACTTACCGATAACCCACCGGAGGCATTTAAAATTTCCAGTAGCAGATTGTTAAATGATCGCAGCTAAGTAAAGACGCAGCAGCTTGTTATGAAAGTAGGTGAAACCCACAGCTTATAGGGCGAAGCATGTTTGGTAGCACCAAGACTCGAACCTGAGACTCTTGGATTCCCAGTCTTATAAGTAAACACTAGAACATGTTTGGACTCAGGAAAGAAAATTAAGTATTCAATTAGACAACAGACACTTATTTTACAAAAACACAAGCACCTTAATTAATATATATATATATATATATATATATAAATTGAAATACCAAAACATTGCATGGAATTTATTATGTATTTCACGTGTTCATAATCATGCTTAAGCTTTTATCATTTCAAAACTGTATTATCTGCATTTAAAGACTGAGGCCAACCGTGTCACATTCATCTATAAGACTTAGCTTCGTAAGACACAAAATAATTGTTTAATTGATACAGTAACTAAGATGTATGAAAACAACGTGGTCATCCTACTTTTTATTTATTTGTGTATTCATAGTACTTTAAGCTATAATTTTAATATTGTATTTTAAATGTTTACAAGAGGGCGCGTGACATTATGATATGGAAAGGTCATCAAAGCTAAGAATGAGGAAGTTTCCTAAAATGTGTAGATACAAGGGTACCATATAAATATTGATAATCAGTATCGAGTCAACTAGTTCAGTGTCAGTGTTACGTATTAGAATTTCAAATGGTCTGAAACCGAGCTAAATGATACTTTAAATTTAGTAGTTAAGTAAAACCGATATGTAGTGAGTTTATGATATTTGCCAACAAGATTAATAAACAGTTTTCTTTTTTAACACGAATACGTTTTAATATACACACAACAATACAATTTACAATAACAGTTATTACAAACAATGATTTATAAACAAAAGTTTCACAAACTTACAAGCAATACAAAGTCTTCTTTTTAGTCTGGAACTTCCCTAATATCTTATCGAGGGTTCACGATGAGCGAGTTAATTTCGAGTTGACGTAGATACAATTCACTTAACAAGGAGCTAACTAGCTCTGTGGTCTTCACTGTTCATATGCTTATTATAGATTGAGTTTCCACCAATGATGTAAGGTAATGTTTTCTTAAAAGTACTAATGTCCAATGTGAATCCCCTGAAGTTAAATGGTTTGTAAAGTTCGAAATTTATAAATATTCCTGGTCAAATATCTGAAGTGTCCGATTCGTAAGCGTTATAACAATCACAGTTATAGTTTCCGAAGATTATAGCACACTGACCATAACGAACTAATGATAGATACTCTCTTTTGGCGCGTCACGTTGGTTATATTTATAGGCTGCGGATACTTTCTAGAAAATTCAGATTACGTAACAATACAAATTTAAGCGTTTACTTACACACATATATTGTGAATTTTTACTCTCGAGAATCTTCTACAACTTTGGAGAATAGACGGGAGTTTCGCAATACATATTGAATATAGATGACACTTATATTTAGAAACATACATAGCTTATACAAGTTTCATTGATATTAAAATAAATATATAATAACAAATTCGTTACAGTCAGAAAAAGTTATTTGGTTCTAGAAGTGGGAGTTTTCGCATCCATTCTGTTATTTAATTACTCAGTGAGTTAGCGTTGTTTATGGTTCAACTAGCTTTATGAGGACATTTTGTAATTCTCGCAGCTTATACTGAATCGTTGTATTTGAAGGTAGGCCTACATTTAGTTGGAAGTTTATGAATAAATTTTTATTTATCAAATTAGTCCTACAAGTGAACTTACCTGCAACAAACGTTAATTCGTTATCGTTACGTGGATTGGATATGTCATTATTATTTTACCAAATAAACCAAAAGAACCTGATCAATGATATAACACATTGGAGCACTCTGGTATCAGAACTTTGATTTTATAGCAAAACAATGCCGTCTCAAAGTAGTCCAGTCTTATCAACATTAACATCAGGGCGATTTTTCATTTTATTACCAGCTGACTTAAGCCTTTTCTCAAAATTACAGTCCGTCATGCTAACAAGAGAAAATGTGTTCCCTATGCAGTGTACTTGTTCACATTTTATAATAATAATTTTAACTGGTAATGAAAAAACAGCAACTCGTAGTTAAATAAAGTTTGTTTAGTTTGTTTTTTGTTGTTTTGTTGATAAGAATATATATATTATTAATCTCAAACAATTGTTCCTTTAATATGATTGGCATTTCAAATGTTAATAGTAAAATTTAATTGTTTATTCGCAATATAGGAAAAGTCCTAATGAAATTCCATGTGGACAGCTTTCGATTTTGGGGTTTTTGTTTTTATTTGTTTCGTTTTTTCTTTATGGTATGTATTGAAGCACAAAACTCTTAAATCGAATAAAAATATCTTTAGTGGCTCTTACAATAATGGATTTCTAGGCAGATTGTATAATCAATAGAAACTGTCCAACTGATATCTCATTTTGCTTATCTCGCATAATAAAAGAACGCAAGCAAATGTTTTTGGGTATTTTATTTCTGTTGTAAAATTACACAATTCAGTGATAAATAAATAAATATATATATATATATATTGTATTTCAAATTAATGTTAACACACGTAGCACGCTACTCAGAAAAATATTTCAGACTCTCCTCAGTTATTTGAATTTCAGTCTAGACTAGCTATGACGTCGTTCATTTCAAACGACTCTGTAACTTTATACTTTTTATTTATTTACTTTACTAACACGCTTAAGTAGCGCATTCGTTGATACTTGCGCCACTAAATCTGCTGCGCCTGGGCAACCTTGTAATGCGAAACACCAGACTGATCATATAATTCTATTTTATTCTTGTTCAGATCAGTTACTGACGTTACTCTCATGGTACTATCTATCAAGCCTATTCCCAACAGCTAATACAAATAACTCCGTTAGTTATTCTGTAAAACTGCCAGAAGACATGCTCATTCTTCTGCATGGTTATAGTTTATCATTTTTAAAGCCAAGCCAACCAGTCCGAAGCTAGAAATGTTTGATAGGTTGCTATCGTTCAAGGTCTTACGATTCATGCTCGGAAGGTTCTCACAATGGTCTGCTTACGCCGTGATTCATTTACTAAGGGAGTAAGTCGCTAGCAGGATCTGGTAAATGGTTTTTCTAGGAAAGGGCTAAAACTGGTTTTTCTATTAAGGGCGTCGTAAGTATAAACGTGTTCTCTCATAAGTTAAAATACGGCCAATATGACAATTTAGGTTCATATCTTTAAAAAGGATGGAATATGAATATCAGTCAAGCAAATTTTAGATCATAATTAGTTACAAGTGTTGTAGCAAGCCAATCAGAGGTTTCACAATCATACGTACACACACACGCACGCACAAATGTATATGCCAATTATTGATCAGGCTGGCATATGAAATTTAACACTACCCATTATAGTGAAAATTAAAGTCATAGTAACGAACAAAATCGAAGCAGTGTAAAAAAATACAACTTTACTTGAAAAATGAAAATATAACGTCCACGAAAAGCCTCCCAGTGGCACAGCGGCATGTCTGCGGACTTACAATGCTAGAGGCTGGGTTTCTATACCAGTGGTGGATAGAGCACAGATAGCCCATTGTGTAGCTTTGTGCTACAATATATAGGTTTATCGAAACAATAAAACTATTGTAAAAAAATATAATCAAGAATGTATTATTCCCTGCCAAGGATCAGATGTTACTGCATTCACACATAACCTAATTAAAGTGTGTAGCTGATAAATAATAAAAAGTTGTACTTAATCCCCTAACACTATGATCGATATACCCCATTTAATTCATACCATTTGGTTTTGATTAATACTGCACCTTTTAACATTTTTTAAATAATTAGATTTGTTTATATGTATTAAATATAAAATCAAAATACTAATAAATGACTAAACATATATGTAAAATATAGGGAAAAAATATTAAAAACAATGATTTAATTGTTTCTTGCACAACTTGTGGAGGGTTGTAATAATATACACAAGTACAGCTTCTTTCTGTACGTTTAAAATACTGGTGAAGACATGTAATTTCCTGATTGCATGCTGAAAAAACATCCTCAAGATCAAGTAAAAACGAAATGTTCGCTTTGTTTATTTGTGCAATTGTGCAAGATCAATGGTGTAATGTTCGTAGACTTTTGTTCCATACAGTCATTAAAAAGTAATTTGTAACAATGTGTATTGGGCTTTATTTATATTTGTTACTTGAAAGGTAATATCTGATGTATAATATATTATTAAATACGAAAATATATAAAACTAATTTTCAAAGTAAAAGATATCTCACTTACATTTTTTGAATGTTTATAAATTAAATTAAATGTCTCAATGACATATCATGTTTGAGTTAAACATTTCTTTCTATGTTATATTCTTCAAAACAAAAATACGAATCAGTTAAAAGAACTAGAATTCAAAAATTCATTCCAAAACTCAGCGAAAATACTTCTGGGGTACGTTTTTATAGCATTCACAGTACTTTATTGAATTAGCACACGAGATTCTAGATCACTACATTATTCTTTAATGTAAGTTGCAACCATTTTACTACCAAATGAAAGCTTTTACATGATTTTAAGATTTCCTTTGATCAACATATACTTCAAATTGATAAACCAAAACACAATACTTATTCATTTAATATTAAGATTATACCACAAATGTATAAGCAGACACTAATCAACAAATTAAACCATTTGAATCTAATACAGACCAGTGTATTTGAAACCATTTTTCTTATCAGTTTTAACTTCTTACACCCTTTGTATTTGTCTAAGCAATACAGAGAAGAAAATGTGACTTTAAACGTATTACAATTTTCTAAGGATAATTTAAATGCTAACTGTTATAAAATTACGCCTCCACCCAGTGGATCTGTGGTATATCTGATGGCTTATGATGCTAAATACTGGATTTCGATACCCGTAGAGGGAATAACATAGACAGTCCATTGTGCAGCTTTGTGCTTCACAGCAAACAAACACACTATAAAAGTACTCAACAAATATATATCGGGCCACATGCTACCTAGTTAAACTATACCATGCACCTTATATGTAATAATAGAAGTTTCAGAGAATGCTGTTTTTCTCAAGTCTGTTTTATCAGACTTAAACAGTGACATAATGAATTACTATTGATTTCGAATAAATGAAAGTAAAGTTTATTTAAATTAAATGATAATAAATAATCGTTACTATAAAATAAGTAATTAAATAATGCTGTTATTTATCATTACTATTATTCTTATTTGTAAATTATTTAAATTCACTTGACAATAATTACAATTAGCCTACATACTCTCGTTCTCATAGTGACACTTGTTTGTGAAATCGATTATATAAATAGCACGTGGACCACTACTGTGTTTAACATATACTAGCCAACTTCATGAACTCTGGTATCGGAGTACAGGCCTCGTCGGCACTGGATATGTCAGGTGTAATGTGGTTAACGCATTATTTCTTATGTTTTTCTTTGCTTTTCCTCATAAGTTCTTGAATAACCATTAGCATAGAGCTAAGAAAAAATCCTAACGATTGTTAAAATAAATGATAAAATGTAATTTTAAGATCTCTATCGAATTCCGCTGGCATCTTTAAGGATGGATTTCGTTTTAGCTCTATTCGTTTGGTTATTATTACTTGGTACTAAGAGAAGAACTACATAATGGGCTATCTGCGCTGAGCCCACCGAGATATCGAACCCGAGCATTACCGTTATGAGCTCTCAAGTATACCGTTGAGCCACAGGATGAGTTTGTGCTTCAAAAATAAGTTGTTCTATTGATTATCAGGTGTTAACGAAGCTGTATTTCTAACGCTAATTTTAACTTTGTATTATGAAATAATTTATATTCAAAAGTCTCTTCACTGGTTAATATAGATGTTTGAATTTATTATTGATTTGTCAACAGCAACAAAAAACACTAATGACAAAATTAACATGGGATAAAGTGTTTTTCCATTTCTAATTTACAGTTTCTTATTTCCTTTTTTTTTTTTGAAAAACGATAAGGTAAGACTATTAACTTACCCCGCGATAGACACAGCAGATGTCCTGTCCCAAAGTTGCTTTAAAACGAACAATCCTTTATATATTTTTTTCCATAGAAAAGTTCGTTAGTAGGATCAATTTCGGAAAATGTGGCATTAGTGTAATGAAAAATTATTATTTAACAGTAACAACATACAAATACTATTTGAAGATATTCCAATTACCTTTTGGTTTATCAGTTCTTTCCTTAATAAATAAATATATATATATATATATAATACACTATATTAGAAAATGTGTTGGGATGAAACTCCTTGACAGACCCTCACTTAATATGAATGTGACTCCCATGAGGCAGTGCTATGTAGAGGTTATAAAGCTCAGCAGTTGCTCAAGAGAGCTAGCTTCCTAGTTTTAAAATGCACTAAAAGCTTGTTCAGGTAACTTCACAAGCACTATGAGAATATTATATTTCAACCCGTCTACTTATACCCAAAGTCAATGTCAATAATGTGCTGAAAAATTGGAAGAACACTAGATATGCTAATGAGCAAAGTCATACCGTTCCTCAAACATAAATCACTCGTGTTGCAAATTATATCCGCACATTTAACATTATATCTTTCACTCAGTTTATAGAAAGCTCAATGCTGTACTTCACGAACGAACTGTAGTCCATAAGCCACTCATCACAGCTGTGGATGCAAAAACGCCAGATCTCATGGCGTTTTAAGTGTCGAAACTTGGATGAAAATTAATGGAAACTGTCATATTAGACAGCTAATTCCTCGGTTAAATTTTATTTCCAATGAAAAAGTCTGGATTGAGTGCAGCCTGGAAAACTCTTGGATACGGCTATTTCACCCCAGTAGTGATGAGAGGTAGGTCATTAGTTACAACAATATTCAATGACAGTTTTTTAAATCTGCTATAATCTATGCAACTTATGATTAGAATTTAAAATTTTTATTTGCAGGTGCATTTTTAAAGTAAAACTCTTAACTAGTAACACTCAAAATATACATTCATATACGTATATTGATATTATTGGTGCATTGTAATTTTATTATTTTTGCCGTAAAGCGTTTATATTTCAAATAGAAAGCTTAAAAGCAAAGCTTGAAAATATATATTTCTTTATGAGATAGTTTCATATTGAAAGATTCAAAAGTTTTAAACCCGTATTATCTTTTTTGTCAAATGTATTGTAGGAGTTATCTAATAAACATTGCAGAAATATCATTCAGCTCCAATTTATGTATATTCAAATTAACATGACACATAACTGGAAGTGAAAGATAATATGATGATTATTTATGTGTGTTTATATATATGGATGTGTGTTTTCTCTGTTTTTCTTGCTTGCACGAATCTCTTTTGCTTAAATTTTTCCTTCTTGCCGCTAATAGGATATATTAAAATATTATTTCTTTATTTGAGTCTACTGGAGCGCCATCTCGAGAGAAGCATCTTACCCACGGGCAAACAGAAATGAAATGTCCCGTGACACACAATGAGGGAAGAGTGCTGAGAGCGGCTCTTAAACAGCAAGGTCAGTCACAACGAGTAGGCATGTGAAGCAGGTTTTCAGTTGTCTCAGTATATTGACTGCTCCTGTGATTGATTGTTTCTATCTTCCACCACACATGTGAAAACCTATAACACAGCAGTTCTTTTCTTACGATGTTGTGCAATATTTATTTTTTTTTCTCCCAGGATTAATGATACACAAGAGGAAATTGTAATGCTCAGCCAAATAGGACCATACTGATTGCAACTAGAAGAAAGAAAGAAACGTAAGATACGACTCTCCACATTTCTTGTATCATTATTTCAGGATTTTAATTCAAAATTTCAAATTAATTTTATCTCATGTTGACAATTTGTATATCGTTGAGAGTTTTAATGAGAAAAGCTATATTTTTTATGAAAATATAAGATGGTAACAATAACAATATAAAAGTGATGTCTCATAGAAAAGTTAAATGTTACGCTTATTATATGTGTCTGCGTATGCCAATTATGTTTCCTTGACTAATTATCAATATGATGTTCTTAATTTTTGGTTTATTAATAAACATGTTTATTCCCTATAAATAAGGATGACAAAAATTATCATTAAAAGATGGTAAATTAACTTTTTCGTTTATATAATATTATATAGAATCCAGCAGTATTTTGATTACCCGACAATGTTATAAATGCATTTATATAAAATATACACCGACATACAATACAGTCATGTATTTAAACATTTCAATTATCAATTGAGGAATGTTATATTTTATTGAAATGTTGAATTACAATTAATGAATTAACTGCTATTTTTAATTTGAAGGAAAAATATTTTGAGACTACGAGTTTCACCAGAGAAATCCATCTCATTCAATGCATGAAATTCAACGGAAATCAAGTTAATCTAACGTTTGTTTCAAGTAGTCCAAGTAAATATATATATATAAGCTGCTTTGTCAATGGAAATTTAAATGGTGTTTTGAAATTAGAGAATGCTGAAATATGACACATTTTTTCAGATGACCACACTCCTAGTTATATACTGTATGAATAATCGATTCAGCCACCTTAACACAAAACTGTTACTATGTATTTCATAGTTGTATCCAATATTTTGAACATAATAACTTATGATAAGGGATTAAATAAATTATTCTTCTCTGTTAGCGTACTAGAAGGAGTATATTCAAAAATTTGATGAAGGAATCTTTATCTTTGGTGGTAAAATTGTAAGCAGCAAAATTTGTTTGTTAAAACATCAAGGCTAATGAAGCAAGCGTATCTACATATCTCAATGAACTACATTCATAAGGAAAATCAACTATGAGTATAAAGTATTATATACCTTCATAACCTACAACATGCATTTTATTGTATTTTATTTCATTAATATTGTCTACAACTGGAAACGGTTGCAAATGCATTATTGTTCTAGTCACATAATACAAGGTTATAAGTATTGTGTAACTTAGGATCGAACATTTCATATTTTTTCTAATTAAAATTCAGCTTTGTAAAAATAAAATGTATAGCAAAATGGTCATAAATATCAGCACTGACGCACATGTATAAGGAAGACATTATATATATATATATATATATACTCACACGTTTTAAAAGAAATATAAATGGTAGAAGGCCATTTTATAGACAGTCCGATAACTACGTTATTCGTGACTATACACAGACATATTTTTGTAATAAAAACTGTTTTAATTTAAGAAACTATTTCCCTAAAACAGGTTAAAAGCTCTTATTCTAGCAGCTCAATAAACGTTACTTGTACATGAGCAGAGAAAAGATAAAATTAAAGCAATTTTACATTAAAGCTTATGTAATATTACTATAAACACCAACTGCCCTGAGGACAAATGCCTGACTGTTCTCATTTCGAAAGTTTTACGACGATTTTATAGCAACAAAAAAAAATACGATTCTAAGTATGCTAATTTAAAGATTACATGTATGGTTTTGTAGTTTGGTCACAAATATTTCCCACGCTTGTTAGTCGTAAATTGTATTAATCAATGTGTTGTAAGCAGTGAACTCATTAGTAAAGCACATCAAGTATTTGCTTCAAGCGTTCATATATCAGTCATTTGGTTCCTTGTGTATGGGAAAACTATTGCCCTGAAATCTTACTGATGCTTAATAAGTTCCATTGTCATAATGACACTGCAGCTATATGAGCCTATACGTTTTAAGATAAATATGTATATGCACCCTAACAGGAGAGGCAAAGAGAGGCCATTAAATGTCATTAAAGAGTTAAGCGATAGTCATTCTTCGGTGTAAACTCCCAATTTGGCTTAAGGCGTCAGACATTCTTTTTAACTAATAAATATGCCGATAACTTGTGCAAGACTCTAAGATGAAATGAAACATGTTTTTATTTTACTTGTTTGTCTATTGAAGATCATACACAATACACTCTTTTAGACGAATTCCGTGTACATTTCTCATCATTATGATTTTAACGTATCAAACTTCTTAGAATAACCTAAGATGTAATACTTTGAACAGCTAATGATTTTGTTGGTATTACTTAAATACGTCTTAAGTAACAAAAATATCTAAGCAGAGTTGCAATACAGATTAAATCCCAGGAATTCATAGAAGTAAATCCCACAACTGCTTTAACCGAAAGAAGATTATAGTTTAACTTAAAAATTGACCTCATGACTTTCTAACAATGTTTAGAGGGTGGTTATGAAACATGAATAGAAGGGCGTAAACCTGAATATCAAACACTATAGTTGGGTTTTCCTACTCTCCATAAACCATTCATTATTTTACTCCTTTTCTCTTTATAATCCAGTGAAATTGGGGAATCACCTTCTGAATGTCATTCAGTAATTGTTATGTAATAGTTTACTTGAATTTTGTTTCAAAAATGTCCATACACTTATATTTACATATTAATATACTTAATTACTCATCCATGCTATTGGATAAAATAAAAAGGCATAAACGTTTTAGCATATTATATTTTTCTGATTTTGACGTAGTATTAAAAGTAATTTGCCAATTACTATTATTTCCAGAGATGCTAATTTTTTTTATTAACAATGTCATAAAAATATTATGGAAGTAACTTGCACGACTGTAGTTGTTTGTTCATTTTCTTGAACTGTTCTATTCAGAATCTTTACTAAAGCAGCCCTTGCCCTTCTAACACAATTAATTTATATACCCATCCATTAGATGTCCCTGACGCGTTTGTAGCGAAATAGCTTTCTCTCTATATATACACACACATATACATATATATCAACACACACAATATATTTGAACAAAGAAAGTAATTTCTAGTTGCTTAATGAAACAGTTAGTATAAATGTTCACACAGGAACATTTCACAGTTTTGGTTCTTGTTATTGTTTGTTAAAAATACTTTTACTGTGCATTTAGCAATTTCAAAATCTCATTTATCTGGATAATTAAAACACCGAACCAGTTGTATTTCTTCTTAAATTAATAAAATTTAAAACATTTAACATCTGCACTATATTAGAGAAGTTAATCACATTTTACAAGAAAATTATTCCAGGTCACATAGTGCATCTGGAAGTATTTCCTTCAAACTCGATCGTGCTTAGCCTGATAGCAGTGACTATACGCTGTTACTCGACACCATAATTTTCATCGTAATAAGTGTATGCGAAGGACAACGAGGTCAGTCTTAACCCACCCAACTTTACAAACTTTTCATATACACTTCACTCTCTGTGGCTGTCGAATACAATGATTACTTTGAATAGTTCTAACAGAGTAAATGTCTATGAGATATTCAACAGGTGACTTGAATGGGTGTGTAGTCGAATGGAATTGCTGTGATTCCAGCTTTCTCAGCCTTATTTCTATGAAAACAACGGTGGATTTTGAGGAGTGGCTGGAAAGTTTGGTGGCCTGTTTGGTAAGAGTTTCGGTAAACTTCACAACAATGGTTTCTTAGGCCAAAGGGTTTCGTTTTGTAGTCACATACTTTTCTTTGCAGATGAAAGCATTTCTCCAGATTGGTCAGATAAGAGGCTTTGAAGCACATTGTTACTTTAAATGCTATGGATGTGTCCATTGACTTAATATCATTTAACCATTTATACAAATATTGTTACTCAGAACTGCTATTATATATACACATCGAGCCATGATCCGACATATAGCACCTTTGATGAATAGTCGTGATTTCGCAGTGAATCAAATATATTGATGTTAAACATTCGCACGTAACGCCATAGCTTGAATCTCCGTCGATATGCTATTAAATTAGCTCATACACCTCGTTCGTGTTTAACCTTTTGCAATGTAAAGCAATAAATATTTGAACTGACTTTTTTTTTACATTTATGTATAAATTCTTTTATTTTTTTTACGAGAAAGGTATTCAAGTTAAAATAATCTTTATTAAATACGATAACTGAAGTTACTCTTAATAGTGTTTTTAAATGGTTACATATTTAAAAAATGTCCGTCTTGTCAGCTACATATCTGACATTGTTGAAAACTTCAATCTTTCCAATAAAACAAAATATATCCGCATATGATCTAAAGATGAAAGTAGTGATGTTAAATCAGTATATCCTTAAATTTCAATATATTTTCTCTTGTTTTTCTACCTGCGGAGTATTATTTCTTGAAAATTGTACAACACAGCATACAAATAATTAATACTTTAGCTTTAAAAAAAGTCGCACAGAGAATATAAACAAAGTATTGAACTACGAAGTAGGGGAACAAAACAAAATTGGGATTGTTTAAGAACAAAGACCAGTTAATCGTGGCAGTTAACTCTGGCTTCAGCAAATGTTTGTTTTATGGGAGTGGATGAATAAATAAATGTCAATGTAACTAACAAGGGGAAGTCTGAATTTTACAGTGTACAGCTGCTGCTTTTTATTCCAAGAAATGTTCAGTGAAAAAAACAACAAAAAAACATTCTCATTATCCGCGTATCTGTATACAGTTTAAAATCAAAACACACATCTGTGTACAATAAGGCCAACTTGACAATAATTATTTATACGTGAAGATGTGAAAGTTTCTATCCAGAGAAATCAGACAGAGCATTAACTATATACACAAAACTATCAATATTTACTTTGTACATTAATGTATTTTAAAAGCTATCTCAAAATAAAATATTGCAACTGTATTAGTACAGTCTTAACTTCGATGTTCAGGTCTCAGATTTAACGTCCCCCGGTGAGACAGCGGTAAGTCTACGGATTTACAACGCTAGAAGCAGCGGGTTAGATTCCCCTTGATGGACACCGTAGATAAT